GTGACTCCTCTCTGATCCCCCCAGCCTTCCTTATTCATCAGCCGGATGCACCAAAGGACACATGCTCAATGCCTCTTCCCTTTGCTGGGCATTTTAGCCTCTCTCTCCTCTTTGAGGAGCAGCCGATCGCTGTGACAGCTTCTCTCTCACATGACTAGGTTAAAATCCCAACATGACTTTGCCCCACAGTGAGTATCGAATTTCCTTCATCTCCTATCAGGTATTTTAGCCAAAGCTCTTGGGAGCCACCAGGTCACCTAGCTCACTTTTTTCCAATGGACTTTTGTCATAAACATACAGCTAATGGTAGCATAAAATCCCTCCTTTACCTGTAAGGGGTTAAGAAGCTCAAATAACCTGTTTGGCACCTGACCAATAAGGAAATAAGATACTTTCAAATCTGAGCGGGGGGGGAGATTTTGTTTGTGCTCTCTTTGTTTGTTGTTCCCTCTTGGGACAAAGAGAGAGACATAAGAACATAAGAACGGCCGTACTGGGTCAGACCAAAGGTGCATCTAGCCCAGTATCCTGTCTACCGACAGTGGCCAATGCCAGGTGCCCCAGAGGGCGTGAACCTAACAGGTAATGATCAAGTGATCTCTCTCCTGCCATCCATCTCCACCCTCTGACAAACAGAGGCTAGGGACACCAGTCCTTACCCATCCTGTCTAATAGCCATTAATGGACTTAACCTCCATGAATTTATCCAGTTCTCTTTTAAACGCTGTTATAGTCCTAGCCTTCACAACCTCCTCAGGCAAGGAGTTCCACAAGTTGACTGTGCGCTGTGTGAAGAAGAACTTCCTTTTATTTGTTTTAAACCTGCTGGCCATTAATTTCATTTGGTGGCCCCCAGTTCTTGTATTATGGGAACAAGTAAATAAGTTTTCCTTATTTACTTTCTCCACATCACTCATGATTTTATATACCTCTATCATATCCACCCTTAGTCTCCTCTTTTCCAAGCTGAAGAGTCCTAGCCTCTTTAATGTCGCCTCATATGGGACCCTGTCACGGAGTATGGGGGAGTCAGGGCCCCGCACCCCTCTTCCTGAGATTGACTGTGACTCTCAACCAGCCAGTAAAACCGAAGGTTTATTAGATGACAAGAACACAGTCTCAAGCAGAGCGTGTAGGTACGACCAGAACCCCTCAATTAGGCCCTTCTGGGAGGTTCAGGGAGCTTAGACCCCAGCTTGGGGTTCCCTGCGTTGCACCACCCAGCCTAGCCCTCCCAAGAACCAACTCCTTCCTCTCCTAGCAGCCCCTCCCTCCTTTGTTCAGTCTCCCAGGCAGAAGGTGTTACTTCTCCCAATCCCCCTCCTGGCTCAGGTTACAGCTCAGGTAGCTTCCTTCAAGGGAAGCCTCCCATCCCCAATGCAACCCCCCCTGCAACCTTCCCAGGTCAAATCTGCCCCGCTCCCTGCTCCGTCACAGACCCGTTCCAAACCCCTACTCATTTTAGTTGCCTTTCTCTGAACCTTTTCTAATGCCAGTATATCTTTTTTGAGATGAGGAGACCACATCTGTACGCAGTATTCAAGATGTGGGCGTACCATGGATTTATATAAGGGCAATAAGATAATCTCCGTCTTATTCTCTATCCCTTTTTTAATGATTCCTAACATCCTGTTTGCTTTTTTGAATGCCGCTGCACACTGCGTGGACATCTTCAGAGAACTATCCACGATGACTCCAAGATCTTTTTTCTGATTCATTGTAGCTAAATTAGCCCCCATCATATTGTATGTATAGTTGGGGTTATTTTTTTCTTTACATTTATCCACATTAAATTTCATTTGCCATTTTGTTGCCCAATCACTTAGTTTTGTGAGATCTTTTTGAAGTTCATCACAATCTGCTTTGGACTTAACTATCTTGAGCAGTTTAGTATCATCTGCAAACTTTGCCACCTCACTTTTTACCCCTTTCTCCAGATCATTTATGAATAAATTGAATAGGATTGGTCCTAGGACTGACCCTTGGGGAACACCACTAGTTACCCCTCTCCATTCTGCGAATTTACCATTTATTCCTACCCTTTGTTCCCTGACTTTTAACCAGTACTCAATCCATGAAAGGACCTTCCCTCTTATCCCATGACAACTTAATTTACGTAAGAGCCTTTGGTGAGGGACCTTGTCAAAGTCTTTCTGGAAATCTAAGTACACTATATCCACTGGATCCCCCTTGTCCACATGTTTGTTGACCCCTTCAAAGAACTCTAATAGATTAGTAAGACACGATTTCCCTTTACAGAAACCATGTTGACTTTTGCCCAACAATTTATGTTCTACTATGTGTCTGACAATTTTATTCTTTACTATTGTTTCAACTGATGTTAGACTTACCGGTCTGTAATTGCCGGGATCACCTCTAGAGCCCTCTTTAAATATTGGCGTTACATTAACTATCTTCCAGTCATTGGGTACAGAAGGCGATTTAAAGGACAGGTTACAAACCATAGTTAATAGTTCCTCAACTTCACATTTGAGTTCTTTCAGAACTCTTGGGTGAATGCCATCTGGTCCCGGTGACTTGTTACTGTTAAGTTTATCAATTAATTCCAAAATCTCCTGTAGTGACACCTCAATCTGTGACAATTCCTCAGATTTGTCACCTACAAAAGCCGGCTCAGGTTTGGGAATCTCCCTAACATCCTCAGCCGTGAAAACTGAAGCAAAGAATCACTTTAGTTTCACCGCAATGACTTTATCGTCTTTAAGTGCTCCTTTTGTATCTCGATCGTCCAGGGGCCCCACTGGTTGTTTAGCAGGCTTCCTGCTTCTGATGTACTTAAAAAACATTTTGTTATTACCTTTGGAGTTTTTGGCTAGCCGTTCTTCAAACTCCTGTTTATGCTCCTTTCTATTTACCTCACTAGGATTTGACTTCCATTCTTTAAAAGATGCCTTTTTATCTCTCACTGCTTCTTTTACATGGTTGTTAAGCCACAGTGGCTCTTTTTTAGTTCTTTTACTGTGTTTTTTAATTTGGGGTATACATTTAAGTTGGGCCTCTATTATGGTGTCTTTGAAAAGCGTCCATGCAGCCTGCAGGGATTTCACTTTAGTCACTGTACCTTTCAATTTATGTTTAACTAACCCTCAGCTCCTACTGAAATGATACATCTAAAATTACAGAAATTGTAAGTAATAACCTAACGCATTTCCTTGCTATCTTTTGTTTTAGCTTGTGAATTTTCCCTAGGCTAAGAGGGAGGTTTATTCCTGTTTTTATAACTTTGAAGTTGAGCCTAGAGGGGAATCCTCTGTGTTTTAAATCTTTTTATTACCCTGTAAAATTACCTTCCATCCTGATTTTACAGAGGTGCTTCTTTTACTTTTTTCTTTATGTTAAAGTTCTTCTTTTAAGAACCTGATTGGTTTTTAGTGTCCTAATAACCCAAGGGTCTGGTCTGTGCTCACTTTGTTAACCTATTGGTTGGTATATTATTCTCCAGCCTCCCCAGGAAAGGGGGTGAAGAGGCTTGGGGGGATATTTTGAGGAAATAGGAATCCCAAGTGGTCCTTTTCCTGAATCACTTGGTGGTGGCAGCAATACCGTCCAAGGACAAGGAAAGGATTTGTGCCTTGGAAGTTTTTAACCTAAGCTGGTAGAAATAAGCTTAGGGGGTCTTTCATGCAGGTCCCCACATCTGTACCCCAGAGTTCAGAGTGGGGAGGGAACCCTGACAACTTTAGCATACCAGAGACAGATTATTTTCCCTCATGGAAGGCAGGCTGGTTTCATGCCATTGATCATAGATATCCAAATCCCAGGTAGAACTGTTCTCTCCTTGTTCATCTGTTTCTATTTCTTCACAGGGGAGATCCACAGCTCTACAGGGTCTGCTACAGAATTGTGACATACAAGGAATATTAATGCCTCAGTCATTCTCCCTTGTACAAGGAGGAGGCTCACAGCTCTGCAGTTCCTTTGCTTCTGTCTGAAGTACAGCAGCCCTAAAACTCCCAGCCACCAGGACCCAGATAGGAACATACCTGTAGGAATACAGGGACTTCCATGCCAGAGCAGACCTGTGGCCATCTAGTCTGTATCCTAACCCTACCAGTTACTGGTTAGCTTATGCCCCAAAGCAGGAGGCTTTATGTCTCATATTTTTTATTCTCTCTAACACAATGTTGGGGTGAAATTCTGGTCCCATAATTCAATGGGATTTTTGCCACAGACTTCAGTCCAACCAGAATTTAATCCTGAATGGTCTCATCATCCATATAAGTGTCCCATCTTTTTCTACGTCTCTTGGTGATATCATGTGGCAATGAGTTCCACAAGTCAATTGTAGTGTATAAAAAGTATTATGAGATGTCTGACAAAGTCTTAAGAGTGAAGAACGTGACTGCATTAACTGTATAATTTTATGCCCTCAGTCAGCTGAAATGAAACATCAAGTTTGTGTGGGACACAAGGAAATGTGGGACTAAGCTCAGCGGCATATAAAAGTAGGCAGGTGCAAATGAGTGGAAGAAGAGAGAGTTCCATGTTAGCAGCTGTCCAACCTCAGGAGCAGCCGCTCTTTATCTGGTCACAGTGCCTGTAAATCCTGGCCAGTGTCTCTGCTCTTTCACACAGGACCCTCTGTTAGCTCCATCTGCTCCCAGTGATTTGCTGAACTCGGATTTCCCAAATTGCTCCCTAGTTTAAATCTGCGTGCCCTCTCCGTCTGCACATTCTGCAAGCCCATGGCTGCTCGAGCCACAGGCCACCAGCTACTGCACCACCCAGGGCATTGGGATTCTTCAGATCTGGGATTTGGAGCCAAGCAGGCTTTTCTTCATGGCCCTCTCCACACAGGAGTCCTTGAAGCATAGTGTGCGTACCCCACACCTCTGCAGCCTCACCTGGCGCTTCTGTATAATATGCCAGGGATGATGTTACCCTACTGGGTTTCCCTCCCTATCCTGCCCCCTCCCATCCCAGGGTCTTGTCAAAGTCTGTGTATGATGGATGTGTTTCATCTGCAGCAAAATACTCACTGTGGGAGCTGGAGCCCCGTAGACTGGCTGGGCAAACACATTGGAGATCTGCAAGGACAGAAAGGCCAGGTAAGCACAGCACCTGTGATCTGAGCTTCGGCAGCTAAAACTCCCCTGCCTGCATGACGTCATCAGAATTAAACACCCCTTCGCTTGGCGACAAAGCAGAAGCTGGACCTCTCGCCCCACCAAGACCCAGACGTGGGACGAAGCCCCAAAATGAGAGGCCCAGACAAATGATTCCTGCAGAGAACTGGACCTTCAGGTGTCTTCCCCTTTCAGAAAGGATGTTGAGAAGCGAGGTCTTGGGGTGTCACTCTGGTGAGCTGTGTGGCTGCTCCATTCTGATAGGCTGCAGGGGTCTCAGCAGCATGACGCTTCCCATCCAGGTGACTGGGGCATTCGTAGAGCAGCCAAAAGCGTGCTTAGTTCAGGTATAAAGCAGGGCCCTGTCCTGCGGAGCCTGCAGCCTACACAGAGGCAGTGCCACGGGGGTGGAGGAAGACAAAACACTCCTCACTTACTTTTCTGGCTTCTTTGGTCTCGTAGCCTTTGCCCAGGAGAGGAAGCCGTCTCAGCCCGACAGGACTCGGGCAGCGGGAGGCAAACCCTGTTCAAATGTCTCATACACAGGGGGACAGTTGGACCCAGTCCACTACTCCCATGCTGATGCAGCAGGGGGACATGTCGGGTATTGTGCCGGCTACCATGGCCAGAGACAACCATTTTGGCCCCTGATGTCTCCTGGAGCTTTTCCAGCTCACTTTTCTAGGATGATCTGAGCATCTGCTCTTTAGATACACATCCCCTCCTAAGTTAGCAGAACATGGGAATGGAAGAGTTGTACTTACACTGCTGGAGTGAATTCTATAAGCAGGGGCTGCCTGCCCTTGCGGCTCGTAAACCCAAAAAAATACATTAAGGTAAACCATAGAATCATAGAAGATTAGGGTTAGAACAGACCTCAGGAGGTCATCTAGTCCAACCCCCTGCTCAAAGCAGGACCAACCCCAACTAAATCTTCCCAGCCAGGGCTTTGTCAAGCCAAGCCTTAAAAACCTCTAAGACTGCAGATTCCACCACCTCCCTAGGTAACCCATTCCAGTGCTTCACCGCCCTCCTAGTGAAATAATTTTTCCTAATATCTAACCTAGACCTCCCCCACTGCAACTTGAGACCATTACTTCTTGTTCTGTCATCTGCCACTACTGAGAACAGCCGAGCTCCATCCTCCTTGGAACCCCCCTTCAGGTAGTTGAAGGCTGCTATCAAATCCCCCCTCCTTCTTCTCTTCTGCAGACTAAACAAGCACCCACCAATTTTTCCCCATGGGTGCTCCAGCCCTGGAGCACCCAGGGAGTCAGTGCCTATGCCTGAGTGGCCAGTCACTGTGGGCCTGGACATTGGAGGCACCATTGGAGGTCAAGACATTAGTCACACCCAAGTTCCTGAGTGGTGTCTCCTGCTGGGTGCAGTAGAGGGGGCTCCCATGGAACAACATCCCAATTTCCTCTGGCTTTCCTTGCCCTGCATGAACACATGCCTCCCAATATTTCAAGTGCTAAAGCGAGACACAGCGACGCTCAGGTTTGGCCCATCTGCCTCTCTGTAGATGGAGGGGCCAGATTTGATTGGTGTTGTGACCTAATGCACGGGGTCACTCAGATATGGCCCAGCCAGCCATAGACAGAGAGGCGGCCAGGCCAAACCTGAGTGGGCTGTGACCCTGTGTCACAATGCCACTCTGTTTGGGGGCCCTCTCAAATAAGGGACCAGTGGCAAACGGCCCCTTTCTCCCCTCTCCTCTCATAGGTCGCCCTGAATGTGCAAAATGTTCTCCTTTAGCCAGGATGGGGCTTTTGGGGGTCAAGCAGGACAGTCCAGCGAAACCTGGGACAGTTGAGAGGTCTGTTAACACAACGTCCCTTGCCACTGGGCTTCCGGCCTGAGCAGTGGAACTGGTGCTAACAAGGCCAGAGCAGATACTCACACTGGGGCTTGTGAAGTTGATGCAGTTCACAGTCACGTCCCCTTTGATCTCCAGGATCTGGACAGTATGAAGGGGAAGGCGGTGTCTGTACTCCAGGAAGTGCTGACCATTCACAGAGACCTAGGGAAAGAGCAGAGGGAGGGATGGGTGAGGACTGTGCTAGGAGAAGTGAGAAGATGTGGGGGAGAAGATGTGCGGGAGCAGATGCACAGTGGGGGAGCCTTTGCTCTAGTTAAGATCACATCAGGGCTGCAATATCGCCAACCCCAGTGTTCACAAATTATGAGTCACGTCCCATCAAATCATGAGATTGTCCTAAATATAAAGAATTATGGACTCTGTCTATTTGCCTTCTGGGTTTCCGGTCTTTTGGGATCACATTTTCAAACTTTTGTCCACAGCCATGGGAGCTGAAAATTTCCTTTTTTTTTAATGAAAGCTGAGAGTCTGATGTAATCACATGACTCCAGGAGCAGGGGCTTTAAGAAAAACACCCAATATTGCAAGAATGCAGGGCTTCCCTGCTCTCACTTGCTCACAGCTTCCTGAAAATGTCTCCTCTGGGGCCGAAACATCCTCGGCTGCACTCAGCCCAAGGGGGAATGTCTCTTCTGCGACTGAAGTCTCCCCAGCTACACTCAGCACAAGGGGAAACGTTTTGGAAAGTTTCAGCAAAGTCTATTCAATGACTTTTAGTTTGGCTGAAAAAATGTTCAGCACCATAAAAGCTGAACTCTCCTGTCCACTGGTGTCTGGGCCTGTCTGAGGAGGAGCCTCCAAGTGACTGCAGTCTCTGCATGAAAGTTAACCAGGTTCTGTGCATCCCTGTTTGACATGAGCGGAAACATTCATTGCCGACAGAGCTAGATTCTGTTGCCAGTGACACCAGGGTAATACTCCACTGACTCGTAGAGCTTGACTCTGCTTTCCGCTACCTCCGTGTAAACTGGAAGTAACGCCAAGGAGGCTACAGAGATTACACTAGTGCAAAAGGAGAATGAGGCCATGGATTTAGGTCTTGTCTACACAAGGAAATTGTACCAATTGAGCTACAGCGGTTTAGAAACTGATTTAGATCCACCAGTGCAATCCCCAGTGTCAGTTCAAGAGTGCCTTGTCTTGGAAGTGCTGGTCCTGACTCCACAGTTCAGCCTGAATTGCATTTTGCACTTAAATCAGGGATTCAACCTCTTTGTTTTATATGAAAAATACAGCACGTCCTCCTCAAACTGACAGCACTCACTCACTGGGCACTGAATGGATTGTCTGAAGATTTACAAGTACATCCATTAATTAGTTTATGAGTTAAAATTAGTTAAAAACTGGATCCTTTAAGAAATTTAGCACCCAGTGTCAGTCTTTTCTTTGTCCAGAATGATCTCGATAACCTCCCGGATAGATGAAACCTCAAACTTTCCACATAGTTAACATTACTAGACCTCTTGTGCCCAGGCTAAATTTGAAGAAATTATGATGTTATTTAGCTAAGTGATTAATAATTTTTGTATTTAGATGTAAGCAGATCAGAATGAGCTCTACCCTGACATCTGGTGGTGAGTTGTGGAAAAGGACTTCAGGGGCTGATCTCGTTTGCATGGGCACACCCACCCTGCCTAGCATGATGGACTGCTTGCCCAAATGGTCACTTTGGCTGCTGTGGGACCCCCAGTCTCTTTGTTATCAGGGCAGGAGTAATAAACTGTTGTTATCCTAGTTATGGAATCAAGGACAGTAGAACTGGGTAGTTTATGACGGAGGGACTCACCCTCAACTAAGCAGCACTCGCTAGGCAAGGGACATGGGTTCCAAAGCCCAGTGAACTGAGAGAGGCTGGGGACAGGTATGTGTGGTCTGAGTGTATTAGTACTGGGGCTACCTTGCTGATAGCTGAAATCACTGAGAGCTGTGTTAAGGGGGGAGCTGAAACCATATTGGTGAGTGGCTAGCAGAGAGGAGTGCCCAGCAGGGTGGCTAGTGGAGAAGAGTGGCCAGGTGGGAGGAGCAGCTGGTAGTGAAGACTGCAGCAGAACCCCATGGAGAGGTGTGGCAATTGGCTGTTGACCTGAGCAGTAGACCATGTAAGATGCCCCCGTATCTCCCCCTACTTCCACCCAGGCGGGGGGGGTAAACTCTGCAGAGGAACTTCTGAATTCTGGGGGCTGCACTGATCAAGGACAGAAGCTGTGGGTGGGGTGACTGTTGGGTTGCTGGACTTAAGACCCCGAGGGGAAAAGGACACTGACAAACTTACTTGGGGGTGGGTCTTTTGCTCATGGTTTGTGTTATGAATCCTGTTGTGGTGTTTCCCCAACAAAATGCCACATTGTTTCCCTCCTTTATTAAAAGGCTTTTGCTACACTCAGACTCTGTGCTCGTGAGAGGGGAAGTATTGCCTCTTAGAGGCGCCCGGGGGGCGGGGGGGGGGGAGGGTGGTATGTAATTGTCCCAGGTCACTGGGTGGGGTCTCCAGCCGGTTTTGCATTGTGTTATTAAAACAGAACCCCTAGATACTGAATCCGGTCCTTGTTGCTGCCAACTCTGACAGGCAGAAGGGTTACATAATTGTTATGGTTATATAGGCTGCAAACAGGCTCAGATAACTCAAGTAGGGCCATTATGACAGCAGTAACTCAATCTATCCCCACCCTTCCTCTACAGCTAATTTGCCTACAACAATTCTATTGGCACATGTCCCATGAGTTCTCTTGGGTAGATTACTGGGCCCTGCTGTCACAGGCTCCCCTTTTTGAAGGCTCTAGGCTGCTCCGAGTTTGGGAATCAGTGTATGAAAAGGTCCCCATGGTGCTGCTGCCTCAGCTCCACTGCGCACTGAGGCCTGATCTGCACTTAATGTTGAGCTGGACACAGCTTCGGCCCTCATGGGTGTGCAAAACCCATCCCACAAGCACCGTAGCCCCAGTGTCCCAGCAGAAGCTGCGGTGTGGTAGGGGAAGCCCCAGCACCCAGCCCCCCGCTGTGGCACTGGGACTGGAGGAGCTCTCACTCCCCGCTGCGCCCTGTGGCATGGGGACAGAGCTTCTCTGGTCTTGGGGCCGCAGGGGAGGGAGGAGGAATGAACAGGGGACTGCAGTGGGGTGGGTGGATCCTGGGTGGAACGGGTGGGCCCCAGGAAAGGGGCAGAAAGGGCTGGGGCAGTGGGCGGGGCTGCAGGCAGAAGGGGTGGGGAGGGGCCACCCCACTCACGCTGGCTCAAGGCCCCAGGCAACCTTAATTTGCCTCTGCTTCCCGAGTGTGCCCCCCCTCCCTGCCCCCATTCTCCCAGCATGCTCAGAGTGAGCCAGTGTCCCTGGAAGCTGAGTCCAGGCAGGGAGTGGGCTGCCGCTGCCGTCCCACCCCAGCCAGGCTCTCTCCCACGCAGCTGGCTACGCTGTATGGAGCAGTGACTGGGAACAGCTCCGGCCCGCTCCCTGCCCAGGCCTGCCTGCCAGGGAGGGCAGCCAAACACGCCAGGGGGAGCTGGCGCAGAGGCAGGAAAGAGCCCCCCCGCTCCTGGAGGTAACATGGGGTGGGAAGGGGGCACAGGGAGGAGACATGAGGGGAGGTCATGTGTCCTCCCCGTTAGCTGGTGCCCCCCCTCCAGGGTGAAGAGGCTGAGCAGGGATGGGCCTCAGGGAGGAGAGGGGTGGGGGGCCAGGGACCAGGCACTGGTACCCTCCCTACTTCTAGGGAGCTTCCAGTGCTCACGCCCAGCCTCTCCAAATGCAGGAGTCACACGCTGCCCACATGGAGCTGGGACCCTCCCATAAGAGGGCAGCCACCTTGTGACTGGGGCCTTTGGAAATCTCCCCCTTGTGACAGAGGAAGACTTAGCCCCACCTTCAGCAGGGCTGCAGAGACAGACCTCAGTGGCGAGCCCTTCCTGCAAGTCTCTCCCCCAAACACGGTATCAGCCGAACTCCATCAATGCTTAGGGCCTGATCCTGTCTCCCTCTCACATCCCTCTGCGTCATCTCGAGGCCAGTCATGAAGCAGCATTTACACAGGGGCGGCGAGTTGTATGGGCCCGTGGTGCCGGTGCTCCACCAATATGAGAGCAAAGGGGCCCGCCTCCCCTGGAGCATCACCCCCAGCCCCACCTGCCGCCCCCACGCGCCTCCCCTGGAACGTCCCCCCCGACCCCGCCTGCCGCCCCCGCGCACTCCCCCTGGAGCGTCCCC